GCAGTGTGCTCAGAAGCGTTTTGCCTTAATAGCAGGAAAGATTAGCCCAAGACTAAAGGCTGTTCTGGTCCTACCTAACAAAGCTCACAAGTTTCCAGTTCTCCCCAAATTGGCATAGAGGTTTAATACGATCTCTGTAACACCCAACATGGCTTCTTGGAGACATAGACAAGTTTATTGTAAAATGTACATGGGAAGACACAGGACCTTGGATAGCTATGGCAATTCTGGAAAAGGACACGGTGGGAGAAATTGCTCAGTGGGATTTTGAGACTTATAGGAGTGCAGACAGTGTGGGGTTCAAGGGGGGGCCTGACCCGCAGATCGGGGAAAACAAGACAGAGCCCAGATATAAACCCACACCAATATGTTCAAAAAACAGATGTGCCTTTTCCACAAATCGGGTGTGTGAGGGGAAAATGAAGCTCAATTTCACACCTTATACAGAAAATTAACTCAAAAGGGATCATGGACTTACATGTAAAACACAAAACTATAAAACTTCTAGGACAGAACACAGAAGGAAGTCTTAGGGCCGAGGCTTGAACCCATCAAAGGAAATGCTGACCAACTGCGCCTCAGCTAAAAATTAAACAGTTTTCCTCTCCTAACGCTCTCTAAGAAGACAAGCTCCTGACTGGGAGAAACTACTTGCAAACCACAGATCTGACAAAGGGCTTGCATATAGAGTGCATAAAGTCAAACAAAACAAAACAAAAACAAAAACAGTCCCATTAGAAAATGGGCAAAGACACAAAGGGACATTTCACTGAGGAGGCCTGCACAGATGGCAGCTAAGGGCTTACATGCCGGACACTGGTAGCCCCCGGGGAGCGTGCATTTAAACCGACCCGAGTGGCTGAAGTACCACCGCTCAGCTCGCGGCTTGCTGGAGGGAGCGGTAAATGATAGGGCAACTCAGGAGAGTATTCGGGTAGCTCTACGCACGAAGCATGCACTCGGCCTAGGACCCAGCATTTGCTCCCTTGGTCCTTTATCCCAGGGAAATGAAACATTCACCCAAACCCACGCTGAAAACGCGTGTGTGCAACGTCCAGGTGGCTTCAGCCAAAGCAGCCAGAGCCCCAGGGAAACGCCCAGGTGCCCGTCCCTGGGTGAACATTTAGACAAGCCGCGCTCCTCCTCGTACGGAATTCTGCTCAGCGAGGAAGAGGGACGGACTGCTGATACGCACAACAACTTGCTGAGCGACAAAAGCCTCTCGCAAAAGGTAACACATTGCACGATTCCACCGACAAGAAGTAACAGGGCTGTAGCTACGGGGAGCAAATGAGTGGCCGTGGGGGCAGGAAGGGTGCCGGCGTGGCCAGAGCCGTGAGGCCGACGGAGATGGCTGTCCTTGGTCTTGGTGGCTACAGGAACCTGCAGGTGAGGCAAGACTGCCCGGGACCACACGTGCACACACACACGCACACGCGTGCGCACCTGTCAAACCCGTGAAGTCTGAGTAAGTTCTCTATATTGTACCAATGCCGGTTTCCTGTTTTGGGGAGAAATGTGAAAATCCAGTGGGACCTCTTTGTACATTTTTTGGGCAGTTTCTTGGGAATCTATAATTATTTTTAAATAAAGTTAAGAAAAAAACAGACCAAATAAAGAGTGGCGCTGCACGTGGCCATCATTACCAGCTGGACCACTGGTGCTAGTCCCCTTGATCAGGAGTATTCAAATTCACCCCCTTTTCCACGTGGCACGAGGAACACCAATCATCTCTCCAGCTGGAACAGGCTCTGCCGCGGGGACACGAGGAGGGACGGCGCACGCCTGAGTCCAGGGGCAGTTTCAGGCGTACAGACCCATCTTCTTTCCTCCTCACACGGTGGCCGCCTCTCACCACGTGGGCTCCTGTAATCACCTCCGAGCACAGTCACGCTGGGGTTGGGGTTTCAAGGCAGGGATTCTGGGGGACCCACACATACGATCCATAACAGATGCCAAGAGAACATCAGCCCTGGAACAGAATTCCTGTCCTTGAAGTGTCCTGTCAGGACATAGTGCCCAGTGAGACGTGCCCGACATTTACACCTTAGGAGGTGAGGGGCCGCGGGTGGGGCAGGAAAAGCCTCCGTCCAGGACGAGGACCGGCTGGGCACGGGGGGAGGTGCAGAGAAAGCCTCCCGAGCCTGTGTGGTGGAGGGCGGGGCCAAGGTCTCCGTCGGGGGGGGGGTCACCCCAGCCATGTCTCCTCTCCCCAGCCACACCTGCTTGGGCCCCAAATCTGACCCCTTTCACTTTCACCAAAACCTTCCCGATTAGTGTGACCTGGATTCTTCTTATTTCACTATTAGTGTTTGTGAATTCATGATTATTAGTTTCCTCACAGATCTCCCTGATGTTCTAAACAAATGCCGGGGACATCTGGTCCCTGCTCCCTCTCCGTCTGTCTCCATCTGTCTGTCCTCTCTACCTCTCCCTCGCATGTCTGTGGGTCTGCGGGGACATCCGCTTGTCCCTCCTGGCCTCTCCTGAGCATCAGGTGCACCTGCCCTAGGACCTTTTCACTGGTGGTTGCCCCCGTGGGACGCTCTTGCTCAGGACAATCTCACCTCATCCAGTGCTGGCTAGACCGCCACCTTCCTGCGAGGTCTCCCCGGCCCCCGGCTCTCTGCCCCCTGTGGCTCTCCCCACCCTATCAGACTGCCCCTGGAGGTTAATGGCTCTTCTCCTCAGGAGGAAGTCTACACCACACTTCTAGAACATGCCCCAAACAAAAGGAGCACTTGGTACGAGTTGTGCCTGGTCGCTGACTGCACCAAATCGAAAATCGTTTCTCTGCAGGAGGAGAAGGGGGTCCCCCAAAATCACAGAGAGACTCTGTGCCCCCATGGCTTTCTGGGTGGCAGCCTGGGGTGTCCGGCCACGCTGTCCACACATGGAGGTGCAAGAAGGGGGCTGGGTCTGGCTGTCCCCGAGGGGCTACTGTCCACACTGGCCGTGCCGGTGATTAGAGTGCAGGGAGCTGGTGGTGGACGGTGGCTTTGTTGGCCTCAGCCAATGTTTTTGGGGCAGTCCCGGCCCCTTTCCTCCCTCAGGGCTCAGAGCTGCTGCCGTCTCCCATGGACACCAGCTCCCAGGAAAACAGGGAGACTCCCTCACACCAGGGCACCAGCACCCTCCAACCACAGGCGTCACCTTTAAACGGTGGACACAGCTTCACACCACAGGAATGACTCTCTGATGGTGGAATCTGGGCCTCCCAGTGCCGCGGAGATGGACCCCAGAGCCCCCACACCAGTGACTGGGCAGCGTGAGTGGGGAGCGTGCTTCCAGGAGCCCCAACGACAACACTCACAGCTCGGTCCCTTCAGAGACAAACCACAGAGGGTCTGGAAAATGCACTTCTTCCAGAGGAGACTGGGTGGACAGTGGCGCTCTTGGTGGCCGGGGGCCGACGGGCAGCGGGGACAGTCTGTGGGGCCCAGGCCAGGCTCCAGGAGGGGCAGCCCCGGCGGAGGGAAGGGCCGATGGCCGCTCCCTCCTTCCAGATGTGACTGAACCTCCCTCCAGAACGGGTCCCCATCAGCATCTCCCCCTCCTTTTGGGAAGAATGAGGGAGGTCCTGACGACTACGCCGGGGACCGCGAGGCTGCTGCAGCGCCTGCAGGAGGAGACGCTCAGCTTTGAGACACGCTGGTCACAGACACAAGGGTCCAGTGAGAAACGGCAGCTGTCGGCGGGTCACGCAGCCCAGCAAACAGCACCTTTCCTTGCGGAAAGGTCAGGACACCGAGCGGTCCAGCAGGGAGCTCGCGGGAGTCTCGTGGCAGCTGGTCGCTTCAGTTTTCACCCTGCGCTCCTTCCCGGGACACTGGTCATCTTGGCCCAGGCTGCCCCACTATGTCCTTCCGCGTGTGTGAGGTAAAACAGGGTTGGGGCTCTGGCCGCACCCCCTGAACGGCTCAGATGCTTGCGGCCCAGCCGTGGTGGACACGCGCGAGGCCGAGACCCGCGAGGCCGAGACCCGCTTTCCACTTTGGCATAAACCAGCAGTTAGTCATCTTATTCTTAATTTTTTTGACATAAAGAATTATAGATAGGATGTTCTTCGCATATGTGATTGCAGATTAGGTTAGTGATCCAGTGTCTGTCTTAGGGAAGCCTAATTTTAAGACTGAGCACGGGAAAACCGTTCTTCCAAAGTAAGACATACAGTTCCTGAAGCACCCGACACACACGCTCCAAGCTGTGGACCCCAGTTGCCGACAGGGGCTCAGACAGAAGCCTGTCCGCGCGTGTTCCCAGAGCCAGAGGTGGAGGTGGCCGCAGACCACGCTCCGTCCATAGGCCAAAGTCGGGTTTGGCCACGAGAAGGGGTGAAGTCCTGATAAATGCTGTGATGTGCATGAATCAAGAGTGAAGGAAGCCACACACAGAGGCCACCTGCCGTACGGGTCCACCGATGGAAGTGCCCAGAACACACAGGTCCACACACACGGATCCCACAGAGGTGGCTGGGCGCTGGGGGTGGGGTGACTGCTCGGTGGGCGCAGGCTTCCATCTGGGGCGACGAGAATCTTTAGAGCCAGACAGAGGTGGCCTCACACAGTACTCAACGTACCCCACGCCACTGAACTGTCCACCGTAAAATGGTTGATTTCATCTTATGTGAATTTAATTTTTTCAAAACTGAGTTCCCACTCGGGCCCTTCATCTTGCTCCACCCAGTGCCTCCTCTCAAACATGGCAGCTTCGGCGCAGCCTCTGTGTTCCAACGTGGGACGTGGTTCTGGGGAAGTATTCAGCTACACCTGTGCAGAGACACCCTCCTGGAGACATTGTTGGTTGGCGCACTGCACAGGGATGTCGCAGGATCTGCAGAAGCGGAAAGTTCGGGGGTCCCTCCCTAAAGCAAGAGTGGGGGCATGGAGAGTTGTCCCAGCGGGGGACCCCGACCGCTCAGATCAGGGGACACCCTTGAAACGGAGAGGCTAACGTACTTGGATTTTTTTTTTCTATTGTAAAATATGTTTATTGATGGTAAGACTCCTATAATTTATTCCCGATACTTGATGTTACAAACTTTAGGGTCTTTGAGATATGCAGGATCCTTGTATGTAACTGGCATAAACCCCATTATTTGAACTCTCTTAGTTGCATTTGTGATTTCTTTCTGTTTCTTCCCACAAAGACCTGTTACGTGCCTTCCATAAATGCATCCAGTAAATGGAGAAATAAACTGGGACAAAAGCTGTGTGTTCTTATAATCTATACGTTTTCCACACAAGATACTTTTTTTTTTTTTTTAAGATTTTATTTATTTGCGAGAGAGAGAATGAGAGACAGAGAGCGTAAGAGGGAGGAGGGGAGGGAGAAGCAGACTCCCTGCCGAGCAGGGAGCCCGATGCGGGACTCGATCCCAGGACTCCAGGATCATGACCTGAGCCGAAGGCAGTCGCTTAACGACTGAGCCACCCAGGCGCCCCCCCCCTTTTTTAAAAAAGATTTTATTTATTTATCTGAGAGAAAGAGAATGAGAGAGAGACAGCATGAGCGGGGGGGAGGGTCAGAGGGAGAAGCAGACTCCCCACCGAGCAGGGAGCCCAATGCGGGACTCGATCCCGGGACTCCAGGATCGTGACCTGAGCCGAAGGCAGTCGCTTAACCAACTGAGCCACCCAGGCGCCCCACAGGATACATTTTTTTAAGAGGCTCCTTGTAAGGATCTTCCACCAGAACGGGCAGGTCCTCATTGCCGGCTACCTGTTTTGTGTATTTGTATTGTGAACGACTTCTCCACAGTACCACGTGAGTCCCAGGATCTGGGAGGCAGAGAGCAGCCTTTACGAAATGCGTTAACTTTTTCCTCCCTAGATCACCACAAATAGCAACCAGAGTCGCCATGGATCCTCCCGTACTTGGATTTTTATGCTTGGGCTGCACTTGGTTATGAAGAGAGATTGGATGTTTACTGGACTTGCTCCAGACCACACGGTCTCAAACTTGGGAAGGGCTGGCATCCCAGCAGCAGAGGGAGGACAAGCGATCCAGGGTCTGCCACACAGGCCCCAGGCACGGCCGCCCCCACAGCAGACAGTTCTGGGGGACGTGCCGCACGATCCCGGTCGCTGAGGGAGGCTAGTGGAGGGCACGCAAGGGGCCCCGATGCTCCAGAGCCTCGGCCAGCTTGGGTTATGTTGACCTCGATCTCAGCTCCCCAGGAGACGTTCTGGTCTACATACATCCACGCCTTGCTAGAGGTGATCCTGCAGTTATGTTTTCCTTATTACACAAAAATCAACCTAAAATAAATGAAGCTAAGTAAATGGGTATCCACAGAAGCACCGCCTCTTTGCAGAAACCACCCCCTTATTTCATAGATTTATATTTTGGTTTCTGGAATATAAAATTCTGTTGTTGGGAATGGGGGGGCAGGTTTATAAAAACTCTCTTTGAAATTAAGAGCTTCCAGGATATTCTTCAGGGAGGGAAGCCCAGCTCCGGCGGCCCCGCGAGCCTGCCCTCAGGAGGGGTGGACGGAGCTCCTGATGCCCTGTGTGTCTGGCAGGCTCTGGGGTTCCCAGCCCGTGATGGGCCCCACGAGTGCCCTCTCTTCTCCATGGCCCCCACCCCGCCCTGCGTCCCGAACTCCCCTCGGAGGCCCCTTGGCCACGGCTGCTCTTCCTGATGGGGCAGGCGCGTGCCAAGCACACATGCTAGGTGATGAGGATTCTTCTAGAACTTCACCTCAATCTTAGCAAAAGAAACAAGAAATCTTGCATTTTATAAAGCCCTAAAAGCAAAATATTGTTTCTGACAATTCCAAATAGTAATTGCTGGAGAAGTTCTGGGTTTCATACGGTTTTATGAACAACCGGATGCCATTATCCCCCTGAGCCTGAAGCAGCTTTGGGCGGGGAAGGGGCCAAGTCGCTTCAAGGAACAAGGAGCCCAGGTTACCCTCCGGATCAGAGTATTTGGCTCAGGAGAAGGCTCCCTGCACACAGGGCCTGGGGGAGCATTTCTGAGGTGCTGTGTTTGGAGCGTCCACGCACGCGGCCGCGCAGCCACCTCTCCTATGGCGGGCTTCCCCATGCACGTCTAGGCAGGAGTACGAGAACCCGCGGTGGAAAATCCCTCAGAACCCAGCAGAATGTTCCACACAGGTAATGAGTCACTGGCAGGCTCAGATTGTCCAGCAAAAAAATATTGCTTTATTGGGTCTATTTCCTAACTACAAGGACAGCGGACACAAATACCAAACGGTTCCTTTCCATAGACAGCTTACTGAGAAGAGTTTCATGCGAGTCCTGGGGTGCTAAGTGCAGGCTAAGGTCTGGGTGGCAGGCGGGGCCGTGGCCTGTGAGGAGCCATACGCCGTCGCTCTTCACAGCTGTGTGCAAATGCTGCAAATATGGCTTTCAGGTTTGTGTTCTTTCTGGGGGTCCAACAAAGATGACACATAATTGTACAGAAGAACATTTTAAAAATAATTCTGCGGGAGGGCTTTCTCCACCATAACATCATGTTTAATTACTGTAACTTACATCCTCCACCCGAGGGTGCAATTCAGGCATGTTCCAGGAGGGGGCATAAATTCCTAAGGCACAATTACCGGGTTAAACATGTTTTAATTAAACCATGCTTTTTGGTTATGTGAAACAACAGGTCACGGCGAGTAATAACGTGTAATAAGCTGTTAATTGTACAGATGCAGGGGGAGCAGTAGAGCTTAGCTAACCTACGTGTTAACAGTAACTAATCGGGAACGAACTACAAGTGCTGCGTATTAAAACATTTTTGGTAACTGTTTTCTTAGACGAAGCAGAGTTGTAAGGCTTCTGTGAAGGAATAATCTTACAGCTGAACAAATATATTACAGTCCTTTCGTGATGTTATTTACAGTTGCTTTCCCATCTGCTGTTTGGTAACATCTGGGCATCAAGAACGCCTCTCCTGGCTTTCTGACGAGTTCGGCCGGCGGCGCCGCCCAAGACAACGCGGACCCGGAGGACAGGAGATGCACCCCCGTGGACGCAGCTGAAAAGCCAGATTTTGTCTTAGATGCGTTTTCCAGAACGGATACGGGTTATTGCTAACTCGGCAGCCCTTGCTGGGCAAAGACCGCACATCACCAACTCTGTCATTCTTTATCTGTACATAAATATGTCCATGCAAATGCAAGATCTGTCCTGCGGCGGACAGACTTCTTTTTTTGTCCAGCAACATATCTTGTGCTATCATCTTACTTGCGCTACGTTCAAAGCCAGATTAAAAACAAAACCCTAGCATGCTACAATTAACAATCCTATGGTTTCGGTAACGCAGGGGAGGGAGCTGGTGACGCCAGAAAGGACAGAATAAAAGATCCCTAAAATACGCTGAATAAGGCAACAGGCTGCACATTGCAGCCCAAGGGAAGCTGATAAAAAGCAGGAAGCGCGTGTTAGGTTTTTCTCACAATGCCTAGCTTGCCAGTATTCTCCTAATTTATACAAAAGAGAAAGCCTCATGACGAAGCGTCTTTATAGCTTTTGCTCCTACAAATACCCTCCTGGTGGCAGACTCAGTGCTCCATCCTATGGCGCCCTGATGCTGGGGTCTGGTTAATAAGGCACTTCCAGTCCTGAAGTCCGGGGGTGCCCCGGGGGGCCCCGCGAGAGGCGCACTCGCTTCCCTGCCCCCTTCGGTCCGTCCTCCCTGTCACAGAGCTACTTCTTTGAGCGTACGATGCAAATCTTCAGTAAGCTGGAGTTCTGACGGGCACCAGGGATGTGTTTGGTCTACTCAGAAGTCCTGTGTCGGAGCTTGACCGTCAGCGGCCAAGCCGACACCGCGCGGCTTCCGAGTGAGTTCCGTGTGGGCAGCTATGATCGGATGTTGGTGCTGGAGAGATCGTTCCGTATTATTTCATTTACTGCAAGAAAACACAATAGAAAGTCCATTAGGGAAACACCGCTCTGCCCAGAATGTTTGTAAGAACCAGAAATCCCATCAGCCATGCTTTCAGCCCAATATGCTGAGTCTGTGCAAAGGGTCTCCCAGAGGGGTGGGACTCCTTCCTGCTTCCCACCACGGGCCTGGGATGTCCTGAGCCAGCAGCATGCAGCCGCCTGGGCCTGGCTGCGACAGCAGGGGCATCACTGACAAACTGACTCCTCGATCGTGGGCCCCGGGAAAGGGCGCCTGGTGCTGGTCCAGGCAGGCGATTCCACCGGAAAGACCAGCAGAGGCGCCCCGCGGGGAGGCATGTCCCTGAGGTCCAGGCTCAGAGAAGCCCCTCTTTAGTCTCGTCCTCGGACAGGCCACGTCTGAGAGGGGGGCCGACCACGGGGCGGCCGGGGCCTCCCTTTGTTTGGGGCTCTTCCTTCACTTGTGCTTCCTTGTCCGTGTCCACTATCAGCATGTGGCTTTTGGCAGCAGGAGAGGAAATGAGCGAAGCTGGCAAAGGCCATCATGAGCAGGCTGCACAACATCCCTCTCTCCACCCCCTGATCGGCCCCCAGATAGGGGACACGTCCCCACGGCCCACTTTCCTAACAGAACTGGGAGGTGGGGGACACGTGCTCACGTCACGGAACTGCCCGGGCTTCCCTTCGCCGCCCAGATAAACTCCCCGTGTTTCTGCAAAGGCCCCGGCACGTCCCAGAGCGGCTTCCTGCAGCAATTAGCTGGCACACCTGTCATCACCCCACTCCCTCCCCTAAATGCCCTTTCAACACTCCCGCTATTGTTAAGAATAACAATAATAAAATGTGGTTGGGGGAACCAGGAATCGTGTCATGGCTGCTGATAACGGAGCCCACTGGCACCAGCTTTATAGCCGGGAGCCGACGACCGAGTCCCAGGCCCACCCGCCGCCTGGCCAGGGGGCCGCCAGGGGGGAGGGTGAGTCACTGCATGCAAACAGCAGAAGCACGCAGCAGGCCGGGGTGGGCGCCAGGCCAGCCTGCCTGCAGAGGACACATCTGCCTGGGACACGGATGTGATGCATGACCCCCGGACACGCAGCCACGCCTTCTCTGAGGATGGCACTGACCTTCATGCAGAAAACACCGGGCCAGCCCAGGGACCCCTCCCAGCTCGCTGTTAATGAGGCAGTAATGAGGCCCAGGTGCTCAGACCAGCTCTCAGGACGACACCTGTCCCTGGAGTGTCCCAGGGGCAGCTCGTTAGCGGGAGGCAGTTTTTCCGTGGCACTCCGGCTGCCCAGCTTTGCCAGGCCCACTAGAGACCCCTGACGGGAGTGCCTGGCCACGGCCCCTGGGACGGCAGGGCAAGGCGGCTCTCCCCATCCCTTGACCTGGAGACCGCCGCAGCGTTCCCAAGGCCTCCTGCGCCGCGCTCTGCTGGGTTCCTGGAGCACAGACGGGAAGGGGGCAGGCACGGGGCAGCAGACACAGTCCCACTCTTCTTCCCACTTCACTCGTTTGGCCTCTATCTTTTTTGAGAGGCACGGGTCCAATTTACACTTTGCAGAACCCTGTTCTATCAAAGAACATTTTGACAAAGAAAAATAACAAATCTGAGTCTCTAGCGCACTGCCTTGGTGAGGAAAGGCTTCCCGGCGGAGTGGGCTGGACATCCTTTCAATGACAGAGCTGTGACAGCTGACGTGGCAGGGACGGTGACCGCCCCACAGAGCATGTCGCTGTGGCTGGCGTGGCACGTGGCCCCTTAAAGTTGCTTCATGGTGACTTTCTCATTTCATCCTGAACCCGTGCCAAGCCACGGGCCCAGCAGGTCTTCCTAACCCACGTTCAGGTTAAGCTCTGAGAAGGTGTGCAGGGCACACGCGGGGGCAGGTGGACCAGTTGCCACAGGCAGCCCGGAGTCCAGGGCTGAAACACTCAGCCATGACACCGAGGGATGAGGCCTTCTGCACAGGGGCAGCGTGGACAGGA